GCTGTGTAGCTACACTGAGCCCAGACAAGGACTCCAGCCCCAGATACAGCATCATTGACTACAATGGGTAAGGAACTCTCTGCTTTCTCCAGCTGCTCCCATCTCAATGGCTTCACTCTATTCACTTCATGGCCCTTTGTTCACCTGCAGTTGCCTCCTGGACAGCAAAGCTGAGGACTCCTTTTCAACCTTTGTGTTGCCGAGAGACGAGCGGGAGCCGGACAAGCTCAGGTTTGACCTGGATGCCTTCCGCTTCTATGGAGATGAGCGTTCCTTGGTAAGAGGAAGCTGCTGATTGGCTCCTCCCCATTGGGTGGGAGTCGCTAAACACTAACTTGTGCTGAATGTGTCCCTCGGATTTTCATCACCTGTCACCTGAAAGTTGCTGCAGTGGATCAGGGAGATTCCAGGAACAAAGCTTGTACTTTCCAGAAGCTGCACAACGTGTAAGTGTACACCCCATCCCACTGTCTCCCTGTCCCTCGGTGATGTTGTTGGGGAGAGTTGTTTTCACTTTGTTGTTCATGGGCTGTTTCTCCTGTTTAGCTGGACCCCACTGGAGGAATCGAACAGTGACATTTGTGCCTGTTGCCATGTGGGGAACTGCGGTAGCACAAGGGAGATCCTGTTTCCCTCCAGAGGAAGGAGAGACCTTGGACTTGAAGATGGTAGGTCACTGACCCTCCAGATGTTTTGGCTACAACACCCGCTCCCTGTCCCTGACTGAAATGTTTCTTGCAGAGAGTGAAGCTGGATTGAAGCGGGAGGGTGAGGCCTCTCTCGGCCCCCTGCTCATTCTGGATCCTGAGCTGACCAACCTGGCAACTGAGCCCATGACTGAGGTTGAGCAAACGATACAGGAGAGGTCTCCAGGCGGTGAGTTGTCTGACTGCTAGTTTCCCTCTTTGTCCCTGTTTCCCTCAGTAACCATTGGTTTCTCCTTGTTGTGTAGGTGTGCAGTCTGAGCTGGTTGTGATGGTGGCCCTGACAGTGACAGCTGTCTCCCTGATCTCTGCTTCATTGATGGCCTTGTTCCTGTACAGGAAACACAAGCAGATTCAACTGTTGTTGGAATAGTCCAATAAAGCAGTGATTCCTTGTTTCTTGTTTCTAGCAGCTAGTTTGTCTCTGCATCCTCACATATAGGTTGATATTCCTGGGGTTACATTCTGAACCCTGAAGAAACCTTCCTGAATGTGTTTTTGCTGAAGGTATTGTTTGGGTTTTGCTTCTTGCAGTGACTACAGGGGCTTGTAAACAACACTGAAAATGGGAAGTCCATTTCTGATGAGATCACTTTGCACCATTTCCCCCCTGTATAACGTGGACACTCGTATAAACTGTCCCGAGTTTGCTCCAATTACATCATGGGGTTTGTGACCAAGGACACCTTGGCGTTCAGAGTGAGTGAGATGTTGATCAGACTGACCCTCCATGCTGTATCCCTGACTCTTTACCTAGCCTCTGGGCATGGGTGTTATGGTGGCTCAGTGGTTAGCACTGCTGCATCACAGCACCAGGCACCTGGGTTCAATTCACCCTCCGGTGACAGTCTGTGTGGTGTTTGCACATTATCCCTGTGTCTGTGTTTTCACTGAGTGCTCAGGTTTTCTCCACGCCCAAAGGCGTGCAGTTCAGGGTGAATTGGCCATGGGGATTGCCCGTGTCCAGGAATTTGCAGGCCAGGTGGGTTAGCCATGGGGATGTCGGGTTACAAGGAGAGGGTAGGGGGTTGTGTCTGGGTGGGCTGCTCTTTGAAGGGGTTGGGGCAGCAGTGTGGACTCGATGGGCCGATTTGGGCAGCTTCCACACTGGGGAATTCTATGGACAAGTCCAAGTGGTGAACGAGACAGATAGTAGGAACTGCAGATGCTTGAGAATATTAGATAATAAGGTGCAGAGCTGGATGAACACAGCAGGCCAAGCAGCATCGTAGGAGCAGAAAGGCTGACGTTTCAGGCCTAGACCCTTCATCAGAAATGGGTGAGGGGAAGGGGATTCTGAAACAAATAGGGAGAGGGGGGGAGGCGGATAGAGGAGAAGATAGGTAGAGAGGAAACAGGCAGGTTGAAGAGGCGGGGATGGAGCCAGTGAACATGAGTGTAGGTGGGGAGTTAAGGAGGGAATAGGTCAGTCCAGGGAGGATGGACAGGTCAAGGGGGTGGGATGAGGTTAGTAGGTAGGAGATGGGGGTGTGGCTTGAGGTGGGAGGCAGGGACGATCTGGGATGGTTTTGGGATGCGGTGGAGGGGGAGGGGAGATTTTGAAGGTTGTGAAATCCACGTTGATACCATTGGGCGGCAGGGTGACCAAGCAGAATATGAGATGCTGTTCCTGCAACTTTCGGGTGTCCATCCTGGGCCTCCTGCAATGCCATGTCGTCTGAGGAATGGGAGGGAAAGTTGAAACGGTTCGCGACAGGGAGGTGCAGTTGTTTGTTGCAAACCGAGGTGTTCTGTAAAGCGGTCCGTGAGCCTCTACATTGGTTTCCCCAGTGTAGAGGAGGCCACAGCACATGCAGTATACCACATTGGCAGATGTGCAGGTGAACATCTGCTTGATGGGGGAGAGGGAGGAGGTATGGGGTCAGGGAAAAGTACCAGGTGTGGTGGGGCTAGAGGGGAGTGTGGAGCAGACAAGGGAGTCAGGGAGAGTGGTCCCTCTGGTAAGCAGACAAGGGTGGGGAGGGAAACATGTCTTTGGTGGTGGGGTTGGATTGCAGATGGCAGAAGTGTCAGAGGATGATGCGTTGGATTCGGATGTTGGTGGGGTGGTACGTGAGGACGAGGGGGATTCTTTTTTGGTTGTTGTTGCACGGACAGGGTGTGAGGGATGAGTTGTGGGAAATGTGGGAGACACGGTTGAGGGCGTTCTCAACCACTGAGGGAGGTGTTGCGGTCCCTGAAAAACATGTACATCTGAGATGTACAGGAGTGGTATGCTTCATCCTGGGAGCAGATGCGGTGGAGCTGAATGAATTGGGAATAGGGGATGGCCTTTTTGCAGAAAGGTGGGTGGGAGGTGTATTCTCAGTAGCTGTGGGAGTCGGTGGGCTTGAAATGGATATCGGTTTCTCGGTGGTGGCCTGAGATGGAGACAGAAGTCCAGGAAGGAGAGAGAGGTATTAGAGGTGGTCCAGGTGACCTTAAGATGTTGAAGTGCGTGAACTGTTCAAGCGCCTGGTGGGAGCACAAGTTGGCACCGATACAGTCATCAATGTAACGGAGGAACAGTTGGGGTTTAGGGCCTCTGTAGGTACAGAAGAGGGATTGTTCCACGTAACCTACAAAGAGGCAGGCACAGCTTGAGCCCATGCCGGTACCCATGGCCACCCCATTTGTCTGTCGGAAGTGGGAGGAATTGAGAGAGCAAGTTGTTGAGGGTGAGGACGAGTTCGCTAAGCGGATGAGGGTGTCAGTGGAGGGGGACTGTTTGGGCCTGCAGGACAGGATGAAGCGGAGGGACTTTAGGCTGTCTGTATGGGGAATGCAGGTGTATGGGGACTGGACTTCCATAGTAAAGATGAGGTGTTGGGGACCGGGAAATTGGAATTTCTGTAGGAGGCAGAGGGCGTGGGTGGTGTCACGGACGTAGGTAGGGAGTTCCTGGACCAAGGGGGAGAAAATGGAGTCCAGATGGTTGGAGATGAGTTCGGTGGGCAGGACCAGGCGGTGACAATGGGTTCTCCAGGGCATTCACGTTTGTGGATTTTTGGGAAGGAGATAGAAGCGGGCGGTGCAAGGTTGGGGACCAATGAGGTTGGAGGTCGTGGGTGGGAGGTCACCTGAGGTGATGAGGTTGTGGATGATTGGGGAGATGATGGTTTGGTGCTCAGGGGTGGGGTCATGATCAAGGGGGCGGTAGGAGGAGGTGTCGGAGAGTTGGCGTCTGGCCTTGGCGACGCAGAGGTCAGTGCGCCATACTACAACTGTGTTTTATGATGAGGTTGGGATGGGAGCGGAGGGCTGCACGTTCTGCGGGGGAGAGGTTGAGGCAATTGATGTCTCAACAGTAGTTGGAGGTGAAGTGGTCGAGGGAGGGTAGGAGGCCTTGGGGTGGTGTCCAGGAGGAGGGGGTGTGTTGGAGGCGGGAGAAGGGGTCAGTAGAGGGAGGGTTAGGTTCACGGTTGAAGAAGTAAGTGTGGAGGCGGAGGCGGCGGAAATACTGCTCAATGTCCAAGTGTGAGGGGTATTCGTTGATGTGTGGGTGGAGGGGGACTAAAGTGAGCCCTTTACTGAGGACTGACCGTTCGTCCTCAGTAAGGGGGAGGTCTGGGGGGGTTGGGCAAGACTCGGCAGGGCTGGGTGCTGCTGTGGAGGCGGTGGGTGGAGTTGAGTCCGCATTGGTGATGGGTGGAGCGCTGTCAGCGGTTGGCAGGGCGGGGTAGGCGGTGGCGGTGGCAGTGGGCGTGTCTTCAGTGTCTGTGGTGTTAGTCTCGGAAATGGAGGCGGTGGCATCAGCAGCGATGGCATTCGCTGTCCTGGAAGTGGGGTACCCGGCAGTTGCAGAGGCGGATGTGACGTCATCTGTGGGTTCTCCGACAGTGGCCTCATGGCCAACGGTGGCGGGCACAGTGTGGGGAAGGTCCTGGGCAGGGTTGGGGATTTGGGGGTGTGGAGGAAGTCCGTTTTGCGTGGTAGGCACCAGTGAGTTTACTGTACTTAGAGTTTTTAGTGTCCAATAAAGCTGAGTAGAATTGTGAGTTCAGGTTGTGGATCCTACGAAGAATAAACAGGAGAGGTCCTTTGCAGGTCTGGGAGAGGGAGGCTCTGAGCTGGGGTAGGCTTGAGTGTAGTGCCCGGAGATGCCGGCGCATTGTTGCAAGTGTGTGTTTCGGGAGTCGCAGGGAGAAACGCTTCTGAAGGGTCTCAATGTTGTGAATGTTCATTGCTTTGACTAATCTTGTATACTTCAGAAAGAATCTCCAGCACAAATGTCCACCCTCACTTCTAAATATTAGTTTGTTTTTTAACGGGCTTTCTCCTGGGAGTTTGGGCTGATGTCAGAGACAGATGGTCCTGACTCCAGTATCTACTGTACAAATCCCATCTGAACGTGAACACAGGCTGGGGGCTCTGTTTTGGAATGTGTGGGCCTTCAGACTCATCCACCCTTCAGGCCCTCACTAACACTGGGGTCTGAAGATGGACAATGAACATATGTCTTCCCTCCTGCATCAAAAAGCAAAAATGATAACCAATTGCTGGTGACCTAATTCGAAGGATGGCCACAACCCAAACCTGAGAGTTACTGCCCAAGCACCTTCATAAACTTTAGCTGTGAAATCTCCGTGACCTTGAGCCATGTGTTTCTCTATAATTTGTTCTCTTCCTCCTAATATCTTCACACAAATGTCCAAGGATGATCACAGTGCCCTGGAGAGTTTCAGCAATCCAGTTTCGGTTCAGCTGATGCAGTGCACCAATCATTATCAAACAGTTTTTAGAAAAATTTCCTCCTGGATGAGGGTGTCACAGGCGAGGCGAGTGTTTCTTGGCCCGAGGGCAGTTATACTCCAAGCAAGGTTGGCAGTTTCCTTCCCTAAAGGACATGGGTGAACTAGATGGTTTTCTCCCAACAATTGGTAACAGACTCTGTCATTATTAGACTCTTAATTCCAGATATGTTCATTGAATTCAAATTCCACCTTCCGCTGTAGTGGGATTTGAACCCAGCTCCCCAGTCCATCACCTGGGTCTCTGGAATAACTGTCCAGCTGTAATACCACGCGGACATCATCATTAACCACTGCATTCAATCACAGGCAGAAAAAGAACAAAACTGTTGAGCTTGTCTTCTGACAATGTTATTGAATAACTTTAGCCTGGAGGAAAAAGAGAGGGTGTTCTGTACATCTGAGCCCTTAGTTTTGGGTGTGTGGAAATATTAATGTGTTCATCCTTTCTCTGATAAGCCAATGGGGCTGATTTTTCTTTGAGCTCACACCGTGCTTAAGTGCCTCTTTGAGGAGTCTGATGCTTAGGACACAGGGCAAGCACTGTCAGGGCTCTTAGTTAAGTTGGGTACAAAGTTAAATCCATCACCATTCCACTCACATAATTGCTTGTAAATTAAGCACACTCCAGGCACTGCGTTTCAAA